ACAGAGGAAATCACTGGTCCTTTTATAATGATAATCCTTGTTTCCCTTCTCAGTGTGTTTGTGTGTTTGTATATACACACAGTAGGTGAATACATGCTGAGAATATACATATGTATGTTTGTGTACAAGTTTAAAAAAATTGTAAAGAAATTACTAGAACACAGCCTTTATGATATCAACATAGCAGGAGTTTACAAAAATGCAGTCCCTCTTCACAATTCATAAACATTACACTTTCAGACAATGCTGTGCCTCCAACTTAATCCTCTTGTGATCCTCAAGAGTTTCACAATCTCTTCCCCAAGTATCAATAACCACTTTAAATTAAAACACTACATGCATAACAACAGGTTCCTGCCCCTTCATTCTGGGGGCAGTCCTTTTGATTTGACATTTTATTCCACTGCAATTGATAGCAGCAGGTTTTTCCATATAATTCTAAATAATTCAGTAGTCACAACAAGATTTATAACCTCACTGTTTCTTCCCCTTTCCAAATGGTTTATTAATGTAATCAATAACACGACACAGCATTATTGGATGACTCCACATGCTGTCACTTTCTGTTGAGGAAACAATTTCATTCTAACTACAAGATACATTTCCAATACAACACAAACCTGATGGGCAGTTCAGGTAACAAGACATAGTACCAGTAGATGACTCTGTATCTTAAAACTCCTCATAATGTACTTTTACTCTAGTCAATAAAAAAATGACACCCCAGACCTGTGGTGCAGAATTGCTTTAAGCAAAAGGTATCTGTTACTAACACAGTACATTGTACTTCAGGAAAATCATGAGCAAAGGATTAAGATTTAAACAGCATACTTTCACTGAAAACAAAGGCGGGGCAACAAGAGCAGACAAAAAATGTCAGAAGCTCACAGTGACCCACGTAACAGCTATTTTTAAAGCAAGTGCCAACAGGAATTGCAAAGATGTCCTTTACTACACATGAATATGTCATTATCTTCAGACAAAAGAAAAATCCTTTTTGTTTCCCCTGTGGTTCCTTCTAATAGCTCAGAGATATCACCTGCTCTGACTTAGCAGACTGATTTCCTTTATTGATCTCTTTCAGGTCAGTCTCTATAGCAAACTTAATGAAGCATTCCCTCTGGCTCTGTGTCCACACAGACCTCTAGCCTGGTCTAGCTACAGAATTCTGATAACAGAGATGCCTGCCACAATGTTGTAAAATAAAAATTTCATTTTAGGTTCCTAAATATGCATCCAGTTATTTAAACAATGAATAGGAATAGTAGTTCCCACACTGAGTAGACACTATAGTTGTCACTGAAATAAACACAACAGAAATTACAGCCACCTGTCTAGTGTTTCTCTTTAATAATGACATTTCATTACTCATTTGGCACAGTCATAGATTAATTATATCTTCAAGGTTATTTCAAAATGCTTTAGCAAGTCCTTGAAAACATCACTGCAGTATTTCACAGACATTAAGTTTTGAAGCATCAATTTGGTTTCTGGGAAAAACAGCTTTCAGTCACACTACTCAAAATACATAATTTTTTAAGGGTGAAGAGCGACGAAAACATTGAACCACAAGTCCTCTGTGCCTGAGGTGTTCTACTGGGTGAGAAAATCCTGGGGAGAGCAACAGCAGTCAGTTCACTACATATAACATTCTCAGTTGCGTCCAACCATTAGCTCTACAAGTTCAAGTACTAGCATGGCTGTTTGAGAACAGTATTGCAACATTTCTCAGGTAACACTGCACCTTCCTGTGCCACTTTCAGGAGTTGCTCCAGAATATTTCTGTATTTTACAGCTTGTATCTCTGTACAAGTCAAAGATCTGAGTGGTCAAGTGCTCAGCTTTCTCTTTCCCTCTTTCCTCCTCTTGTAAAAGGTCTCAGCTGGTTCCAGTTTTCTGGGTGTCAATTATTGTGAAAAGATTAAAGGTACATGCTTTCTTGTTTTCTTAAAATCAGCTTGGCTTTGCAAGGGATGGGCTTCTTCTCTTTCTTGAGGGGAAGGTACTGCAAATGCAGGACCTGACTGTGAGAGGGTAAGTAAGATAGGGGTGGGTGTGAAGTTATTGCCCTGAAATGGTGCTGTGTTATTCACAAAATCAGCTCCAAATTACAGCAGAAGAGTAAAGGCATCATTACTGATTCAGAAAGCTAAAAGGCTGCTTTATCATGAAATGGTCTTCTTGCCTCAAGCAAGCATTTTTCCCGCCCCAAATGCTTATTTATAATCTCACTCACAGAACTGCACAATAAACATGAGCTCCGCCATATGTGTTCTGAATCTTTGGGATTGGCAGTTCTGTCCTTTTGTGTTGAGGCAATCACGTGCATTCCTCACTTTAGTAAAAATATAAATGCTAAGCTAGCTGCAAATTCATATGTGGTATTGATAAAATCACTAGTCAATACAAAGATGTTTTAATATGTTTTACATGTTACATCTCTTGATAAAGACGTTTAGATGAAAAACCACATTTATTTGAACTTACCACACCACCTCTTGATGGGCAAGTGAGGCACAACAGGTGGTTTCTCTGGGCTGAGGAAGCATGCTTAAGCCATAATTCCTTTAAGAATTTCAAGGTGTATGGACAAGTAAGGTGATTTCAGGGATGGCATTTGGGCCAGGTGAACCAGCTCTGATTCAACTCATGGCCAATTCTACAAAAGTACATGCCACAATCTACACAGTCTGTCTCCAGACAACAGCTATTTTCAAGATGCAGAAAGGATTAAAGCTTTCAGAAAGGCTCAACAGAGCAAAACTAAGAACTGACTGCATTCTTTACCTAGACATTTAAAACATTATGAGATTTTTTTTTTTCAAATGCTAGAAATTGTGAGCCTGAGGAAATTCAGTATCAATTATCACAAAACCAAACAAATTTGCCCTCCTTCTTCAGAACTTGACAGCTGAACTCTATTTTCTAACTGTACCTCATCACAAATAGAAATTGAAATTAAGTTCTTTGCAGTCATGTTCAAGGTCCTCAGATTTCATTATTACTATTACTATTTTTACAGTGGAGTCCATGGTCACTTAAAACAGACTGCCAAACCTAATCCTAGTGTTAATGAATTTAAATCCACTATCATAGTTACAAAGTGGATCTCAGAAAAATTATTCTGCTTACCGAGCATTACAGTTTCAGTACTAATAAACTGTCCTTACTCTGCTAAAAGGCTGAATCACACTTGAACTTTATTACTATATAAATGCAACTGTTAAAATAATCAACAACTTAGCTGTTCATTTGCTGCAAAACTTCATTTTTTGTACCTCATAGGTTGGTGAAAATTTAAGCAGAAATATAACCATGAGGATAACAATATTTCTCTGAATGGTGCAACTTCAGTCATGCACAGACTTCCTCTATAAAAGGAAGTTTAGTCTATAAAAGCTCAGTTTAGTCTAATACCTGTCTTTGACAAGTGAAATATATAATGAAAATTAGGAATTGAACTCATTAGTGATTTTGTTCTGCTCCAGCACCAGTTTTCATACTTTTGATCAGACTCCTGGTAACTTAAAAAATTGCCTGTCATATTAATTTTTTTTAAATTATCTTTAGGTTTTAAAATCTAAAACCCTAAGGAAAATAGAATTAGAAAAAGACTCATGAGGAGAAGACATAGCATAGCATATTTCAGGAGGAGTGGTTTTTGTTGTACTTTAGAAGATACTTATACTGAACACATATCAGGCACAATTAATAAGAGATTTGACTTATAGAAACAATGTTGGTGATAAAGAAAGACACTGAAATTGAAAGCTGAATTCCATTGCTTCAAGAGGTAGTTAAATTCCACCACAAAGGACCTTCACATCATACCAACAGAGAACTGGCCTGCATTAGTTAAGAAAAACACAGCATGCTCAGAGAAGGAGTAAAGAATTCAAGTGTAGATATTGTCAATTACAAGTGAAAATAGTCAATGGTGCACAGATCACACAAGGAAGCTGTTTGTGCAGCTCTGCAAAAGCTGTGATGCCTTACAGTAGTTCAGCTTCCTGATTCAGCTGTCAGACACCCAGGCATGCAGGTACAGTGCAGTGGGAGACCAAGGGCACAAACAGTGCCCCAGGGCCATTTCAACTCACTCTGCTTTCAAACAAGAGTACTCACATAACCTGTGCTACTACAAAAATAAACATTTCAGTTTCTTTTATGAAAAGCAAGCAGTTCCACTGCTTTGAACTGGGTCATCCAGACTGTCTCATTTTTAGTCAAGTACCTTGCAAAGAATTATTACTGCATCATTTTAAAAGATATCTTTAGCACTGTTCCCACAAATTAGGAAAATGTTCCTACTTGAATAGATAAAAACTGCTAAGATGTCCTCAAATTTTATATCTTTATTTTGTATGCCCAAAGGTTGGTTACTTCTCATGCATTTTATTCCATTGACTGCTAAAATAGGAACTGAGCTAGTAATGTCAGTATTACTACCATGGAGAAAAAGTACAGATCTTAAGGAAGAAAAGGTATAATATTTCCTTTGTTAATGCAATTCATTTCCTTTACACTATGTTTTTAAAGAAAAGCATAAGAAAACTAAACAAAAACAAACAAAAAAAGAACAGCACTTTAGCACTGAATAAAAGCAGGAGTATTTTCACACACACAGCCATACTCCATGTCACAAGTGCCATTAAACAGCAGCACGGCTCTCAGTAACCCACTGTACATGAGGACATATAAACAGCACTACTGTTAAGCAGCGATGTCAGAATATTCCCTTAGAAGCTGAAAACATATATAGTCAGACATTCCCTCAAATGCTTGTTACACTTTGTACTCCTATTTTAAAAACAAGCTTTCCAAACTGCCCAAGACACTAACAGACTATAAAATACAGTAATGCTTTAGTTTAATGAAAAGAGCACATTATTTGTATTCATATTTCTTATTACATATTTCATTTTTAGCTCAGCTAATGCATGAGGTTTTTTTCAGATCCTGTGAAAATATGAACAAAAACAAACCTATTTTTTTCATACCATTAGTTTCTGCAAATTTCTGTATATCAGCCAGAGTTTTCAGTTCTTTCCTTGGGCAAGCTGATACACACAAGGCAATAGACTTAATCTTCTGATGTACTAGATCAATGTTGCATGGATCCAAGAAGAATACATACCTATGGAAGGAAAAAAGGTAAATTATTTCTATTTTAATTAACAATTACACTGAACAAAATTTCAAACTAATGGGATTCAGTCAAGACTGAGTGATTCAGTGTATCCAGAAACATACGAAATTTGATATTATTGCAACTGTGTGGATCAAAAGAATTTATGTACTCAACAAATGCACAACGAATGTATTGATATTTATATACCTCTGGATCACACAAAAAGGATGTTTAACTCTACCTGATTCAAGTCCATTCAAATGGTGCTACTCATAAAAACAGCAGTAGGTCTACCATGCCTCTTCACAGATATGAGTCCAAACATTCATAAACCTCTACTCCAACCTTAAATTTGACTTAGAGAATTCAAATTCTTTTCCAAAAAGAGCCAACAAACCATATAAAGTCACTCTTATTCTGCAAAAATAAAAGGTCCATGGCTATATTAACGACTACACATAATACCAGTAATTAAGAGCAGCTTTTTAGTATAGATTGATTTTCCATGTCATGACTGAATTGATTACTTTGGTATTTACTTGGAAATAAACTGTCTTGAGATATTTTAAGTAGAATTATCTTATGTTTAAGTGCAGTATTTTAAGGATATTTTACTTGCTACCTTTTAACAATGAATGCCATTTAAAAATCCAATGCATGAAATACATATTATAGATTCTTAACTAACATCTCCTGGCTGTAATGTTTGTTTGATGACAAACATTAACCCTACAGAATTCCCACTGATGGTATAATAGAGATGTTTTTATCTTTGAAAGTTGAACAATTCTTAAATTCCTACAATTCTGGTGATGTACTATGCAATGAAATATTCTCTTCATATTATCTAACATCATATGAAAACACCCAAAATCTGCCATATAAAATGCCATTACTATTTTTATAGTCCTCATGATGGGAATTCATTCTGTAACCAGTAAAAATCCCTTTTGCTCCTAGAAAGCATTTAGGTCCTCCCTGAACACCTTCAGTCTATATGCTGATTGCTATCTACTGGTCTATTACCCAGTGTCAGTGTACAAGAATGATTACTATGTAGTACAATCTTCCTTAAATGTCCATCAAAACCCATGTTGTCTAAATCAACTGTAACATGGTAATAGATTACTTGCATTCTTAAACCATGCCTTTTTTGTCAACATCTCAGTGAAATCATCCACCCCTATTTCTTTTTTACTTATTACACATTACACATCTTGGGACTTCATAGACAGACCACTGAAGTCTGAGAAACAAGTGTAAACATGAAAATTCTGTCATGCAAACACAGTAAAAGTAACTGCATGCAAGCAATAAGCCACAGTTTTCCATTAATTTCAAAGAAAATACTCTTGAGTTGATACCAGGACATACAATAGCTATTTTAAATGAAGTTCCTCCAGTTGTTATCCCATATAATAAGGGTACGTGGCAGGAGAGTGTCTACTTCTTTGAGGGTATTTGGTCAAAGGAGCTACAAAGCAGAACCTACAGAGTCAAACTTGACTTATATGCCAAGGGAGGCTAGGATGGGAACAAGTCTGGTCAGTCTCACTAATTGGTAAAGATATGTGGATTATGAAAATGGTGATTTTTCAGTAAGACTATCTGGCTAAGGACTTTGCCAAATTGAGAAAAGGAAAATGAGGGAGACAGAAAACTTGTCCACTTAATAAAAGCAATAATCAGAAAGAAACCCAGTCAATGACAAGAATTGATGGGCTATCAAGAAACTGCAGACAGGAACTTTGTGATTGATAGGGATGAAAACTCATAAGTGCAAAATGTAGGAAGGGTCAGTGGGACCCTGCTAGCAGCTGAGGGAACACGCAGGGACAGGGTAGCACACAGGAGTGTAAAAGGGAACAGTTACATGCAAGTTGATGTTGGTCAGTGCACCATCTAACCTCAGCACCTGATCACTGCAGTCTATCTTGCCCTATTACTAAATCTTTTAACACTCTCTCTGCATAATTCTAGTCTCTATTCCACGTGCATGGATGCTGCAACAGCTGCAGGGATTAAGCGACAGCTACTGGGGGGACTGACATGGGCATGAGAGATTTGGTGCCAGCAGCTGGAATCAGACCAGTGGTTTAGGTACCACAAGACTGTGGTTTTAGCTACTTAAGTGAGTGGGGTCTTAGTGCCAGTGGGAGGGAGGAGCCTTGGCAATGAGCTGCTGGGGTGGGAACAATGTGTGCTCACAAAAAATAGCAGCTAGAGAGGTGATAGTCTCAGCCTAGGTGGTCACTGCCCTTGTGGTGCTGGCTGTTGATGGGGCTGAGCACCTCTTCTCCAGAATGATCTATACAAATTATGGAATAATAGAAAATCCTGAGTTGGAAGGGACTCACAAGGACCACTGAGTCTAGCTTCTGGTATAACTTACTAGCGAACTCCAAGCCATATGAGATGGTGAGTAGGGAGCTCTAGGTGAGAAGGGTTGGGTGGGCAGAGGGTCTGTGGGGTTATTTGGGGGAAACTGTGAGTCTGGGGTGCTTGTGGAATGAGCGCGTGAGTGTTTGGTACTTAAACCAAACTGGATCAGCTGCTGAGAAGGGGGAACCCATAAGGTGGATAAGGTGCTCTGCTAGTACTTGGAGAATCTGAAAAGGTGTGTAAGCTTGTGAACCTGGAAAGTGCTACGTGTGTGCCTAGTGACCTTCTTGCCACTGTCAGCCCTCCTTCTTCTGTCACTGTGAGAAGGAAGAGACATGGTTGGCTGTGCGTGTGAATACCACTGTTGAAGGCAGCGTCTTCTCACTGCCAGTCTGTGTAACCAGCTATGTCAATGTCCCATATGTTACTGTCCATCCACATCCTTCAGCCTCCCACCTTAGGCAAAGACCCTGGACTCTGGGAGCTGTAGAACTGGACTCCAGTTCCTGGACAAGAGGGTCCTCTGAATTTCCCTAAGGAAATCAAATCAGCAGTGTCACTATTAGCAAGCTAGAACTCATCCCAGTTCTACCGTGATTTCAATTCAAGGGTCAAGCTATCATTTTAATCACCAGAATATTTTGTAAAATAAATCCTACAATTCTAACTCTAACTTGGAAGTTTAGAAACACGATGCAATTACAGCATCCTGTACAGTTTTGACAGAAGTATGGGCATAGCCTTAAACAGCACATGTAATTCAAACACTGCATTGTATGGTGCACAGAAAAGAGCTGCACAGAAAACTCCAGGCTATGAAATCTGTAGTCTTGGAAGACACAAGTAAGATAAGTAAGATTAGTTTTTACTTCATCACAGCTAAAACAAGAACCAAAATTCAAGAAACCAGCATTACAGAAGAAAAGTTAATTTTTTGTTGTTGTTGTTTATAAAGCTTATGTGTAGAAGATAAATGATGTTACTGCAGAAAATTTCATACTGTGTCACCACAGGACAGGTTTTGTTTCTCTCTAGAAGAATGTCATTACATGCTTTGTGCTGCAATTTCAGTTATTTACAAACAGCAATAGACTACTTTTCTAATAAGGAATTAACATATCAGCAATACAAAGATGGACGTAAACAAAGTAATCATAATGCTTCCACACTGCAAATGAAAATGTTTACTATTTGAAAATCAATATAGTAGACTTACAACATATGCATGTTTATGCATCTTTATGAAGTATCAGCCCCGTAGAGAAGGACTTGGAGGTAGGAGGTGCATGAAAAATTGGACATGACCTGGCAATGTACACCTGCAGCCTAGAAAACCAACTGTATTCAGGACTCATAAAAAGAAGCATGACTAGCAAGGCAAGTCTTACTCTGCCCTCAGCGGGGGTCCCTCAGCTGCACCAAGCTCTGGGATGCCCAGAAGAAAGTACAGGAAAGACATGAACAGTGCAGAGGAAACCCATGAAAATTATGACAGGGCTGGAGCATAAGAAGATGTGCTAGGAGTGTTGGGGCTGTTCATCCGGGAGAAGAGAAGGCTGTGGAGACAACTTTTGGCAGCTTTCCAGTACTTATAGGGGGCTTCTCTAAAAGACAAAGTGACTTTTCACACAGGCAAATAGTGAAAGGACAAGGGGAAATGGCTTTAAGGCAAAACAAGGCAGAATTAGAATGATAGAATCATTTTTGTTGAAAAAGACCCTTCACATCATCTGCTCTAATACTAAATGCACTGCCAAGTTCACCACTAAACGATGTCCCTAAGCACCAAATCTACACATCTTCTAAATACCTCCAGGAATGGCAACTTAACCACTTCCCCGGGCTTGATAACCTTTTTGGCAAAAAAATTTTGTCATAATGTCCAATCTAAACCTCCCTTGCACAGTGTGAGACCATTTCCTCTCATCCTGTCACTTGTTACCTGGGAGGGGAGATTGATTCCTCCATCCTTTCAGGTAGCTCTCAAGCAATAAGGTGAAACAGAGAGCTTGTAATCTGAACATTAATAACACTTAGACAAAGCAAGCACCTTAAATATTACCTAAAAATTAATGACTAGAGTGTACAGCCCATGGGGCATGTTATAGGAGCTGTAATGACCATACTGCAACATGGAGTACAGAACCATGCAAAACCCCCCAAAAAAAAACAGCCTAAGAGGGTATGAAGATGACCACATGGCAACCACTTGGTAACACAACAGCAAACCAATGAAAAGCAAGACCACTCCAGGCCCTAATAGTGCTCATATTAATAATTCCCCAGGTATCTCTTTGTTCAGACTCTCTTTTTTCAAGGCTCAATAGACTGAGCTACAGATATCACAACTGATCTGTGCCATTTAATGGAAATAAGAGTTCAGTGTCAAAATTTTCTTCATCAGTAGGGCATATTCTTAAATCTCAAAATTGTCAAATTTCTCACTATCCTCAAATTCTCTGTGTACATGCTGCAAACTATCCTGAAACCTGGGTTTTCCCATTACTTAAAGTTCAAGCATTGCCTGGGGTCAAAGGCATGTGCTCAGGCAGAATGCCACCCTAACTATTCTCCATAGCATCATATACACATCTCCTAGTACTTAAGTAGACAGCACAAACTGAATTCTGTCCAAATAACAACATACTGGTGATCAAAAACCAGACTGAGCTTGCATTTCAGAGACTTGCATTTGGCTACTGTGATTATCATTTATTTACAAATAAAAGGTCATTTTTAACCCTTTATAACTACCAGAACTTGTAAAGCAAGGAGCTTACTTGAAGCAAATAGGTTTAATTAGAATTCACTGCCAGATCTAGAGTATTGCCTTATATCTGACTATAGAAAACAGTCTATTAAAGTGTGTTCTGGTTACTTTATAAAAATAAAAGGATGACTGATCCACTCTTTGTTCATGAGACCAGGTTGTAAAATCCTCCTTTCCAATACGTCATCTCACTGGTTTCAGCATATCTGATGTAGTACACAGAGCAAATCACATCCCTGTGAGAACTCTGCTCTTTACCCTTATCACCCAGATTTCTGTATCCACACAGACCACATCAATTTCACTTCCACTCGACAGTGCCTATGGGTTGCTGTCATATACAAGGAAGAAAATTTTACTTTTACAGATGATTTAGCTTTTCAGCCCTTGGACTAGGAAATGAAAATGGAATTACCCTGCAAGCAAAATGAAATGAGAATAACTTCATGTTTCCAGAGCCCCATTTGTGGAGCTTTAAAGTCTTTTCTTTCTCAACACAAACTGAAATGTACAGGCAGGCAGAAGAGTTTATTTTTACCGTCTGTCTACAAAGTGCTCCTATAAAAATAGCATTAAATACTCCCATGAACTCCACCTCAGACACCATAGGAACTCCATCTGCTAGAGGCAGATGCAAAGCAGATAGCTTTTTTAATTTGCTTGGCAATTTTTCAGAAGAAGCTATGAGGTGTGAGAGAAGGAAGAATCACTCACTTATATAAGAACCAATTGCTTCCAAAACTAGATACCTTGGACTATACCAGGCACTTCATGTGAGCAGTTAAAGAATAATCTGCCTTAGAGGATTTTCTCTTAACCAAATAGAGATGATTATAACTCATATGTGTGTATCTATTAATTTGCTTAGATCATGCCTCAAGCCATAACATCTTTGTTAGAAAAGCATAATTCTTTTGAACCTCATTAAGATGTCTTGACAAACAACAGGCTCTGTCAATTATCTGTTTTTAAAACAGTCTCTCTTTTTATCTGCTGTCTTTTGAGCCTGCATTTACAAGAGGAATTCACTTAGTGGTAGATGTTTCCCCACATGATGGTCTGATTTATGTCACATACAGAAGACTATCACAATATAAATTATTACATTTCAATAAGGTTTCTGAATGTCTCTACCTTCACATGGACTCAGACACCATTTCCTTCTAACGGTAAACTTAAAATTATGATTTTAAAATTTGCATTTTTTCTCAGAACACTACAATCACAATTTTGTACACATGGGTTTAGAAAGTGCTAAAATGTTTCTGTAAAAAGTAGGAAAATTCTGCTGCATAAACTTTAAGCCTTTCATCCTTCTTGAAAGATCAGATTAGATTAAGAAATTATTTTTCTGACAAAAGATATCAGTAAAAAGTTTCAGATATTTTATTTATCTCAAATCTTTCTCGTAACCACCCATTATTTATCTACATTAAATCATAAATGAGATACTTGGAAGGCTTTAGAATAGCAACTCAAAATAAGTAGATCTCAGGAATACATGCTTCCAGAACAACTTATAAAAATCTTCAATTTTCTGTTAGTCTGAAAGTGTGAAGCAAAAGGCTATCAGACTCAAAAATTAGTAATTTTTTAGCTCCTTGAAGTAATTGACAATGAAAAAACCACTTTTCTTTTGGTAAGTTAATATCTTACTGTACTAGGCTAAACAGTTTACCTCCTTAAGTCTCCCAAGTTGTACAAAAGGACTCTGAGCTTGTCCTACTGACAAGACAGACCTCAACAGACATTCACAGGTATTCAACCTGTCAATGCAGAATTCTTGCCATTGCCCCAGTACTATTATTGCAGTGTGATGTCTTCCTGGACAAGAGATAGGAAGTACCTGAACTTTGAGCATGAGTTTTAACAGGACACTGCTTAATCAAAGCCGTGCGCACCTCTAAAGTTTTGTGCATTTTCTCCACAAGTCACATACATACATTATGCCTACAGTTTAAAATTTGAAGTCTTATTCTAATGTGCCAGATATATCCCATCTCCCCTTACATCTAGTGGCAGAAACTGAGCATACAACATCAAAAACAAACACTGTTATCAAGGCCTGCTCCTAAATCTGAGAATACTTGTCACACCTAAAAAAAATGAGACTTTTCATCAGCCTAGTACAATATCCTACATGAAATGGATACTGAGAAAAAGTAATTTCTCAATGTCTTAGTTGTATTCATATTGCATATCTGCCAGCATATGGTCTAATGTTGCTAGTTGTTACAAAAGATTGCTGTTCTCTAAGTGAGAAAAGTGTCAAAGGACAAGTAGGAATGAGTTAACATATCCCTTGTCCCACCTTATTTAAAACCACTTTCAAAGAAAGAAAGGTTTTGCCTTTCCTGGTTTAGAGAATACAAAAATTGTATCACATACTTACTTCTTGTGTGTGAGGTCCAGACCACTGTTGACTATTCCCTCCACCTTTACATTTTTCTGTCCACAAATATTTCCGTAACTATCATATCCCGAAAGCAGTCTTGCAGCTGCTCCAGTAGCTATTGAAAAGCCACAGATAAAACCCTGGAAGAATACAAAAACCCCACAGTTTAGCAATACTCTGTTTGAAAGATAGGAAAAGTCAGTTTTATGAATATATTTCCAAGCAGAGGCTGTCTAAAAATTCTTTCAGACTGGAAAGGGAAAGACAAGGACTATCAGAAAGAACTGTTGTGCAATAATAAAACTGAATGTAAGCTAAAAGGAGATTCAGACAACTAATACTGAATATTTTATAAGCAGAGTTAAACTTCCTATATGTAGCTTATTTGAAAGTCATACTGTCAGCAAGTGGGCATGAAGTAGAAGGGAGAAAACAGCAAGTGCGCAAGGGCAGGCAGTGAAGGAGAGCTGCAAGCAGAGATGGATTGCCAAGCATTTTAGACAATTCCACACAATCCAGATTTTCTTGCTTTCAGATGTTTTTCCTTCTTTTAAATTAAGTACTTTCAAAGATGAGCTAGAATGAAGAGGCCTATCTAACACAAGTTCCTTTTAAGGAAATCCTCTTAAAGCAAGTGACCAGGTCAAGGCCACTATGGTTTCAGATGCTGGTTTCAAATGCAGGAAAGAAACAGATGCAAAACAAGATGGTTCAGAGCACCCAAGCAATGTGGAAAATACCCTAAGTAGGCAGTTCTTGCTGTGAACTTTCAGAGATATTTCACAAGCAAAACCAAGATTAAGGCAATGATTGTGCAAACAAGAGACTAGCCAAAAAGCTTCATTAGTAAGCCACTGGCAGGGAGAAATGAACCATCAGCTCACTCCAGTACCACCAAGGAACTGATTTTACATGTGAGACAGGCTAAGATTTAAGAAGTGGAAGCAGAATAAATAGCTGAGGCAAGAGCATAGAGCAACAGATGGCAGTGGCAGGATCAGATGAAATGATGACAACAGGTAATGATATTGGCATGGAACAGTGAAAACGTGGGTGGTTCACCCTGCAAGTGAAGTCTCCCAGAACGGTAACTATGTGACCCAGTCGGATGATTGCTCGGTATATTACATTGCTTAGACAGGAAAATTTGGGACACTCATGCACAGAAAACTAATTTATAACTGGGGGAACAGGTAAGTATAACCTAATAATCAAGGAACATAACAGAACATAATAACAAGGAACATAACAGAATAGAAAAAGAAACAAATACAAAAGAGAGCTACTTGTTTCAGGAAGTGCTGTGCTTTTTGGAATTTTAAGATATTCACATTACAGTGACAACATCATTTATATGATTTTAAATAATCATTATAATTTTTACATTTGAAGCCCAACCATTGAAAACCACCCTGGGGAAAGTAGAAGAAATTTTTCAGTGGAATTATTCCTAACACCAGAGACCAAGGGAGAGCAGAGAAGAAAGCTGAGAGCACATTAAGTCCCAAACCCCCCTAAGGACGCCTGCTTGCAACACAGCAGTACAAGATGGCAATGTTCTGTTTAAGAAGAGTAGCAAACATAGATCCATGAAACAAAACAAGATGGAAAGAAGTGTACTTCTACAGTAATGTGCAGGTTTTGGAGGTTTGGTCTTTTAATAAAAAGTGTAGAGTGTTGTGAGGCTGACTTGGAAAAGGTGATGGTTTCACCACAGAGATAGAACTGTTAAAACTTTTAAAGAAAGATCTTATCATTACTAATATGGTTTTTAAAAATAGCTGCTTCTAGTAAGTATACAATAAAAATAAATAAATTAACAAATAAACAAAAACTCAGTTAACTCTTTGATAGTCAGAAGTTTTGTTTCTCACAAAAAACTTCACTGCGATTCACAGAATTGCTTACCAGACACCCAGCTATCATTTCTGGGACATGCATAAGCAACATGAGTCAAATGATAATTCACCTTGCTGAAAAATCACTTACCACTGAGACTGCAGTTTCAGGGGAAGAGAAGCTGGAGCAAGTATTGGCACCAACAATAAATTATGGATCCCTATCAAAGGCCTTTGATATGTACATACTACTCATTTCTGTTCTACAGCTAATGGTTCTCAGGCAAATATATCCTAATCTTTGCCAGTGACTAAGTTACTGACAGAATTTAAAATTCCTTTTTTATGAATGCAAACTCCTTAACTATACAACATTTACAAAACTCCTCTGAGTTTTACTCACCATTCCTATGCAGAAGAGGATGAATAAGAGCAGCCATGGTACATCTGTGCAGCTGTGGTCTTCCAAAGGTTTCCACTCTCGCTTAGAACTCTTGTGTGAGAAGAGAGATGAGGTTAACAACACTTTAATTGTCTGCTCATAATAGAAAAAGGCAGAAAATTATTTTATAGGTACAGCAGGAGTCATCTTTAAATGCCAAGATAGTTGAAGAAGCTTAGTTGAAAGACTTAAAGAGTAAGGCTCATGTAAGGTTCCAAAAGAAGTGCCTCCACAGGAGTTAGATCACCAAATAGTTATTTACCCAGAAAATAGCTAATTTATCCAGAAATTTAGAAATATTTATCCACAAAACATATTTTCTTGTCTTTTTATTAACAGAAAATAGAAATCAATGGCATGAAACTGACAATATCTTCTATTGTAGTCTTCCACAGCTACCTTTCAGTAATCTGATTTGCAGGAAGGATTAAACTTTTCAAAAACCCCTAAGTTTTCAAATACTATTGGCAGGCTGAGCAAGAACCATGCATGTAGAAAAGAGGCAATAAATTGCTATTTAAGGAACAGTTTGCTACCTGCCATAAGGTAGCTGAGCTTTACACTTCAGTGAAGAAATCCTTCATCTGTATTGCTATAGTGCCAGAAAGGAAAGTTGCATAATTGAAGGTTGGAATACTCAATGATGGAGATAGTTGTAAGCAATTCAGATAGTTTGCTGCTCATGAGGTAAAAATTCTCAAGTATGTATACATTGCTTAGATAATTACAGTCTTATAAACAGTCATTTAGGCAAGAAGGTTTCAGGAAAGGAATAAGCACTAGCTGTAATACAAAACTAACCAGCAAATCAGAATTTGTTATAACAAAAATACTGATTACAGCTACTTTTAAAAATACACAGTTACACATACAAGCTTTTTCAACAGGCTCCCAAACACTGCATTTTTAGATATATTGACTGAGACCTGAAAACTACAGACACTGTTTTAATCCTTAAGGAAGAAAATGAGATTGATAAAAAAGACTACATACACAACTGCCCTCTGCAGAGACAGAGCAAAGGGCATAAACTATTCAAATTATGAATTTACTTTTTTCTCTTAAGACTCTGAAATGTGGAGGTCTGTGAGCCTGCTGGGGAGAACGCAACAGCAATTCCCTGGAGAGATGCACCTTAGGCTCTGGGTATTTCTCACAGCTCAGGGTGATGAAAGAAGTTTCCCCAGGGTGCTCTGCAGCACTACACTAATTTGTCCCAGTTCTGTCCTCCCCATTGGCCTATTGGCTTTCCCTACCCCTTTTACCCTTATGTGTTCACGTTCTAGTTAGTTCTCCTTTCCCTGACTTCCCATTGGTTTACGCCTCCACCTATCCACCCTGGCATTCCCTATTGGACCCTTCCCTGTGTACCACTCCTGAGCCCCCAGTTCGTTGGATCCCTGATGCTCTCCTCTGCCCCCTCTTTCCCTGTGTTTATATCCTAGACCCTCCTTGGCTCCCTGTCTTTGGCCCCTGGACGCCTTCAGCGTGACCTGAAATAAAGCACGTTCGAACTCCATGCCTGGACCCTCCCATGTCTCCACTGTTGAGTTGCTTCACCTGTATGTCTGTGTGTGCTGGTGCTCCTGTGGCTCCTACCCGCTGGCACAAGATACTCTCTGGGAAGGTTGCATCCACCACCACCATGGACCACAGCACTGAATAATCTTCAGGATTTTGCTGACAAGGTTGCAATTGTCAGTACTGAATTAAAACAGAATGGCTGGATGAATTGTCAACAACTTTTATCTCCAGTATGTATTTTGCGTATTTTTAATTTTTAAAAAAGTAATAGCATGTAACTTACATGATATTAGCAAGGTGATTTTTTGCTATTCATGACTCTGGCTTTTTTAAAATTCATAAGCACAAAGTAACCTTTTCATATACTACCATTAGAAAGCTAAAAATTGGGTAAACAAATAAAATCCTGCACACATCACACTTCAAAAAATGCAGTTTTCTAAGTATTCCAACTTTACATTAAGGAATTCCAAGCTAATTTTGCAACCTTTTATTTCCACTCACAGATATGATAAATAGTTTTACAGATGTGATAAATACTGTTTTAATTCAAACTGCAAATTCACTGTAGGTTCTGAACAGTAAAACTTCTTTAGATTTTACACAATAACCAGTAGTGAGAGGTGCTAAAAGGTAACATTATGCACTCTACAGCCCAGATTCAATGAAACTGAATCTTCTTATCCTGGCGGTTCTTACTTATAACTAACACACTCTTTTAACTTAACATTTACAATAAGATTACAGTCTTATAAACAGTGACATTTATGTTGTTATAATTAGCATGATCATAATTGCATAAAATATGTAAGGCTTCGTGCTTCCTATTCCTAATTTCACTCCAAGAACTCTAGATTCTTTAGAAATTTACTGTTATTACAGTACAAACAGCAGGGATAAATTTCAGCTACAGCTGCTGTCTTAAGAGCAAACTGCCCTTGGCAAAAGAGGGAGCAGCAAAATGCACTGCAGAGTGTGCTTTGGTTGTTTTGTTGTTTGGGTTTGGGTTTTTTTTTTTTTTTTTATCTTCTCTCTACCATCTGCATACAAAATCTTTTAATAGGATTTTTAAAAGCCTCTAGAATAGCTCTGGCAAGGATTTCAGTTGTCTGACTAGTCACAGTTACCATAAGTAATCCATTTTACTTACTAAGTGGACTGCAATTTATATGTCAAAAAGAAACTTGAAATGCCATAACATAGAACATAGTCAGAAAGTTACAGAGATAAATTAATTCTCTGCCTGTGGTTCTTACTCTGCTGAAAAAAAAAAAAAAAAAAAAAAAAAAAAAAAAAAAAAAAAAAGCTATTTTAAGCAAAAAGTATCCTAGCAGGAAACTCAACAGGTACTAGATACTTACTAACTTAAAATTTAACTGCCTAGAGTGGGAGTGGTAACAAGGTATGAAATTATATATGTTTAAAACAACACCTCTTTTCTGTAGCTTATCGAATCTTTCTTGTCCTCAGATCTCACTAAAACCCAAGCTAGCTACCATTATCTGTCTACTATTTTCCTCCCAGTTGCTTCCTTGTATTCTGGATTCCCAATGAATCCTTTATCCTTGTCTTTGATGTCGGTGTCTGTGTCTCCCCAGTGATTGCTCCCTGTCTACTCTACACCCTTAGGCATTTACTCAGACTGATTTTCATGGTTTGGTGACATAAATTGTTAATCTATGGTCAATGTAAGACCTAACAAATATTGTTTGTTCTGCAATCTGTAAACTATGCTTTGTATCCATTGTGACTGAAACGCCATAACATTTTAGTAGACATGCTTTGCCTGAAGTCCTAAATCAGCACCTCTACTCATTTTAGCTTTTCTTCCACATAGATTAGGAGCCTGCAATGTTTGCTTAGGCAAGAAAGAGAAAAAAAAAACCTGAAAATTCTTTGATTCATTTCAAGTTTTCCCTTAAAACAGAGCTTTCATAATTTACACTATGCTCTCTAAGGATATTCTTATCATTAACAAAGTGTGTACTCTCATAAAAGCACAGAGAATCTGGAGCACTATCAGTCAGAAGTGGAAGGCTGGCAAAATCAGTCTTCCTCTCCGAGACAAACTTCCAGGTTGGGAACATTTCCTGTTCATAACAGCTTTTCTGTGCTGATTTTATGAGTTACTTACTCAAGAATGCAAATAAGTGTGTTCAGAAGTTTACATCTGTCCATGTTGCACAAGACTTAGCAAACTCAAGACCACATCAAAACCCTCAGGTGCCGCAATTTTACAATCGTGTTTTAGTACTACACACCTAGAAAACTGGACGTCTTGCAGAAGAATATCAGGACATTAACTACTGGTTTTTCCTAGCTGAATTCAGAGCTACACATTCTCAAGACTACAAGTACTTGCATGCAAACACAAAATAAAAAGAGGTTATTTTCTTGGTATTCATTGCATCCAATAACTCCAAAACAAAAATAGAAACCAGATTTCTTTCTTGCTGCCACTTACAAAATATACCTTTCCAGAACCAAAGAGTAGGTTTCCTCTGCATATTGCAATATACTTCTGTACAGGAATTTCCAGAACCAGCATAACCAAAACCATTTTCCCTGTTAAATGTAATAGCAGTACTGGATGCTGCCATACAAGCACTCATGTGCCATAACCAGAGAGAAACCCATATAAGAGCATAAAAAGATGAAAAAACACAGCATTTTAATGGGAGAATACAGATGCAGGGAGCCACAGAGAATTTATTTTGAACAAAACACGTCTCATGCAATGTAAAATTTGGGAATGATGAGACTAAAGCGAGAAGCCTATTAGAGAACATCTGCGGCACTACATATACGGATAATCAAGCTGTGGGTAAGTAGCAAAGATGTGAATAAGATAAGGATAAAGATGGAATCTGCTATCAACTGATGATGTTGCAACATCATGATGGTACAGGAAGCAGAAAGAAAAAGCCTTGTGGTGGTCAGATGACACATTTCAAGAAGAAGAAAATTCAGGTGCTAAGCAGGAGGGCTGAATCAAGGACAACCCAGTGAATAACAGGCATGAGTTATGACCACTGGATGAAAAGGAGTTGCAGGTCTGAGCCTAGAGGTTAGACTCTAGGCTCCACTTTAGCTAGTGAGTATAAGCTAGCAGCTGGAGTATAAGGCTATTCCAACTTGTATATGAACATGATAATTTGTTACAAAACCCTATCCCAGGAACCATATTAATCTAACTACATCTCCTTTAAATTCTCTGTTGTTTCATCACCTTGATGTAACATCCTGACTCAGAATACATACAACTGTAATTCAATACAGAAGAGTAAATAGACATAACTGCTCCTTATTTATTTAAATTAGAATTCAGGAATTATTGTGTAGCTAACTATTTTCATAGAAGACAAACAGCCACAGTGTGCACACAGTGTTAATAAATGGTCTTTAGAGGTAAAAAAGAATTCTCATCCCGATTGGCATCTTTTGTGGAAACTCCCAAAGTCCTGCAACATCCACCTTTCCTAGAATGCAGACTGGTTCTGATAAAGTACCAGAGATTAAACTGATCA